CCCTAGATGAACAGTGGCTGATGAGATCTCCTCTCCTTCCTCATGTCCACTATCATCTCCTTCGTCTTGTCCGTGTTGAGGCTGAGATTATTGTCCTTGCACCATGACACCAGACCGGCCACCTCCCTCCTGTAGGCTGCTTCGCCCCCGCCAGTGATGCGACCTATCACTGCGGTGTCGTCCGCGAACTTTAGGATGATGTTGTCTTTGTGGGAGGCGACAAAGTCGTGGGTGAACAGGGTGTAGAGGATGGGACTGAGGACACATCCCTGTGGGGTGCCAGTGTTTGTAACAATGCTGGCTGAAATCATATTGCCAATCCTGACAGTCTTGGGCCTGCCAGTTAGAAAGTCCAGGAGCCAGTCACAGAGGGTGGGGTGCAGACCCAGTGTGGACAGTTTGTAGGTGAGTTTGTGGGGGACAACTGTGTTGAAGGAGGAGCTGTAGTCAATGAAGAGTATCCTGATGTAAGAGTCTCCATTTTCCAGGTGAGAAAGGGAATAGTGGAGGGCAGCCACAATAGTATCTGAGGTGGCCCTGTTGGGCCGGTAGGCATACTGCAGGGGGTCCAGGGGGTCCGGTATACTGCTTCATTCAAGACACAAATTTTTCATTCAGTTGTCTATTGAATGAGATTGACCAAGTGAGGGAAACAAAACATTTCCTAACACTTGGGAACAAAGTCAGGTGACAGATCCACCCACAGTTGAGTTCTCAAATTCCAATTCATGTTTCAAATATTTGAGTATTTAATTTCTGTTTGCTAAAGACAACATTGCATGTAAGTGTTATACTGCATTTGCACATGCGTTGAGTAACAAAGCTGTGAACAAGAACAGGTGCTGCATCCTGCAATATGTTGATAGTATGTTGAAACATTATATAAATCCCAAAGATCTGCCTATCTCCATTGTATCTATTCTGACTGAACCAGAATGATTGGCACTTTGCATTTCTTAGCACTGCTGAGCTTCACAGTGGCCTGGGGGGTAAGTATGGCATAACTTATCATTTCATTCATCTTTACTATTTGATGCTCTGCCCACAATAGAGGTGAGCTGATCTCTGCTCCTGTGGCCCTTTTTCTCAGAGTGTAGGCCTGTGGAGTGAAGGGAGTGTGAGGAATGAGACTGGAGGAGGAAGTGGGGACAGATGTACCTGTGAGGCTTTCTTGCCCAGTTCTACCTTTATTATAAAAGACCTGGTGGTGGTAGAGCAGACAGTTGGGGAGATCTCGCACAAGCTAGAGCTGGAGATGGGCAAGGTACTTTGGCATTTTGGAAGCATATACAATAAATGATGACATATTTATAACAGACAAAAATGTATAAATATTTTCATGACTTGATTTCAGTTGGAGAATTATGAGACTAAGCTGACAGCATATGGAAACAAGATGTCGTGGCAAGAGTGAAATACCAACTGAATAAATTCAGACAAACCATTACAATTTAAAGGATCATTTAATATTACAATTATTCTAAGTAGAGTAGCATCTAAACAGATAATCTTGTAGTTAGGGAACAGAGAACAGAGAACAGAGACTCTCCTCCTGCAATGAAATAGATAAAGCCTAAAGATTGTCGGAGCACCAGTCAGTCGTCGTCAGGTCCTTTGTTATCAGTCCTGAATCAGTCAGCCCCAGTCAGTCATATTTTCCCCAGCCGGCTGGGTCCCTAGAAGGTACCTCGTCTACTGGTTACTGCAGCATGGTCATCTCCTTTCTATCCCTGGCTCCCTCCGGCTCACTTCTCTTTTCAGCTCAGCCACTAGCTACTTCTCAACAGCTGGACTCTGTCCCCCTTGACGTCTCTGCAACCCCCCTTCTCACTCCATTCTAGGAAGACAGGAAGGTTGACTCCCAATCTTCTGGTGCAGAGGGTTCATCTCTGACCATACTAGGCCTTAACTAGGATTCTAAGTATTAATTATATAACCCCTTACATAAGCTAATACCAAATAAGGTCTATATGAGCTACATACTGTTCCATTACATATTTCCTCTGGAATCAGGTTTATTTTTCACCACTACAAAGATTATAATGTTGACAGTGGAAATTGAACAAATGGAGGAGAATCCTGATGACAACAATGACGCTGACCTAGAAAAGATAAAAGTGGAGATTAAACTAGTGGAAGCTCTGATCAAAGAGCTGCAGCTCTCCATCAATGGCTCCACCACTGTCTTTGAGTCTCTTCGCATGCAGGTAAGTCCTAAACTGTTTTTATTAATTTCAATCACACAACAGCAGATGTTTTGATGATCCACTGAAAAACCATGTGTCACTTCAGATCACAGTCATGGTGGAGACTCTGAATAGGCTGGAGAAGACCTACGATAAGAATATGATCTTGGCGACCCGACGAGAATACATCAAGGTGCAGCTGCAACTAGACGAGTGTGAGAGACGCCATCAGGACCTCTTCAACCCCAACATTGGTAGGCCACTACTACACACATCTAAATGTAAGCCATCTTTCGACTCATGTAACTCCTTTTCTCTCTCTTCCTCTCTCTGCAGGGTCTTGTGCACACACTGGTATTATCAAGGTCAGCAAACCCACTGTAAGCCATCTGAATGCCCATCTAAACACTGGCTACAAATTTGGAGGCTGGGGGAAAGACTCAAAGCCTGTTCCCGACAGAGAGTCCATATACTGGTACTCTGGGTACACTAGTAGCTCTATTGTTGACATTAGGTTCTACACAGACTACAAGAATCTCATTTTGAGAAACCAGTTCCAGCATCACAATTTACACAGCAGCTGGACAGGTACAGGAAACAATTTCATCATCCGAGACAACACTGTATTATCAGATCAACAATCCATTTGGTCTGGCTAAACTAAATTTCACCACTATGAAATATGAGTCCAGGGTGATTTCTAAGGCTAGCTCAGGATTCTCCTACACAAACTCCCCCAATCAAATCTTTGACTTTGCAGCTGATGAAACCGGTCTGTGGGTGACCTATGCCACCCAAGAGTCCAGCGGTCGGATGGTTATTGCTAAAATAAATGAACCTTCTTTTGGAGTAGAGGAGGAATGGCAGACTAGTCTCTATAAACCAGGAGTGAGCAATGCTTTCATGGTGTGTGGTGTCCTGTATGCAGTCGAAACAATTGATATCCAAAATGAGGAAATCTTTTACAAGTATGACACCAAAACCAAACAGAAGAGTCACATCAGTGTTCTCTTTGAGAGGTTCCAGGATACGTATTCTAACCTGGACTACAATCCCACTGACCAGAAGCTCTACATGTACAATGACGGCTACTATGTTAACTACCACCTGTGGTTTAACCACACAGCCAAAGCTGCTGAAAAGTCACTATTGCTCCTGACCTAAAGCATACATTGGGATTTTCTGAAATATAACCTCTCATGAATGAAACAATGATTGTGTTTCTTACTTTTTCTTGTACTTTATGTAGTACACCATTTATCCTTCTTCTGCTTAACTGCCAATAAACTCTCAGGCATTGCAAACATGTTCATTGTGTTCTTTTGCAAATATTCAAGACTAGAGTGTATTATTTTCTAATGGATGAAAATGAATGAATTCTACCAGATTAGATTCACCCTTCACTCACTCATTCCACTGCATGTTTTCATAGTGCAGTATAATTTATGGTGCCACAATTGTGATAATATTGGTTTTGGTTCATGTAGTGAAGTCAAAGTATGAAGTAACAATAAATGTTCAGAACAGATTTTTAAAAATGTGCGATTAATTTGCGATTCACTGCAAATTAACATTGAATGTGATTGAATGTGATTTTAATCACGATTAAATATTTTAATCACCAGCACTACTGATAATACTTCTGTCTACTTTTACTTAAGAGGGATTTTGAATGCATGACTTTCACTTGTAATGGAGTTTGTTTACTGCATGGTATTGATATTTTTACTTAAGCAGGGATCTCAATACTTCTTCCACCACTGAATATGTGTGAGACCATTTCTTCTTAACTGAAAGGTATACTGAGTTACATATTTCATATTCAATTGGTACAGTAGATGATAAAATTGAAACCTCACACCCTGAAATTAGACACATCGTGAGAGATGAATCCTAAGACATGGAGATTAGGATCGTACTGTTACCTTCAGTGGTCTCAGACTAGCCCAGAGAGATGAAAATTTAATTTAGCACCTTAATTATGGATGTTATCTGACACTTACTGTAAGCACACATTTAAGCATGATCACTTTCAGTGTAGTTTTATGATGAAAAGCCACTCAATTCCATTTGCAGTTCAGATAAGAGGGTATTACTAGTCTAACCAATGCCATAGTGGAGCCCACACAATCAAACAGTGAGTGGAAGCTACTGAGCACAACTGATCACAAGAATTTCACAGTACATAAGTTTCAATCTTAGCCTTGACGGAAGGCTACCAGACTGCAAAGTGAGATGGTGGGACATGGGCCATTAATGCATGTTATTCAGCCTTCCCTTGTTAAGATCAAATATGAACTGTCTTATCATATATATTCTTTTTCTTTTTTCACTCTCCTGCTGCTGACTGGCGACACAGCGACACCGCTCATTCATCTTTGGTGGTTGGTTCATTTGAATTCTAATTGGGCCCATTTCAGGTCGGAGCGGCAAAGGTCTGAGCCAGGCCGGCTTAACTCACGGCGAGGTCATCTGAGGAGATGGAGGAGGAACAGGAACCAGTAGATAAGAGCCTTCCTCCTCCTGCTCCCTAGGGCCAGCTGTCGCCAAAGGCCCTGTTTGATGTGATCCGTTTGCGTGGTCTGCCGCTTATCATGTCAGCATCGGGAACACCGTGGCCCCCACCCACACTACACACAGATGAGTGCGACAAGTGATTCTACAAGCATACACCACATCCATATCTCCCATGAAGCCACACAGGAACAGAAAACTCCCAAAGCCACATCCCACTGCACATAAAAGTGGATAAAAGGATGAAAGGTTTTGTATACAAACAGTTTAAATAAAGAATTACTGCTAATTGCTCTTTAGCAAGAAAAGAAAGCTACCGCACGCATGCGGTTGAGTCATTCAAGCAAAGTGGGCACACCGCTGTGTCCACAGACCATTCAGATCTCTGTTGACCCTAATTGCTTGATTTTCTCCATGATTCTATCAGCTCTTTGATGTCCAAATAAATGTAGAAAATTGAAGTTAATTGCTATATTTGTGTTCAGCAATGATAGCAACTGTTGTTCTGCAGCAGAACATAAACACTTCCCTTTAATTAAACATCCCTCTGGACACAAGGAATCAGTGTGCTTTTTACAACCTCTTTTTCATCCTCCCTTTATTTACTGACAGTGTGCAACATTTGCCACTGGGAAAAAAATGTGCAAACAAAACAGGAAGTGAGGAAAATGAAGGGAAGAGAAAATATTTTTCATCATGTCACAAAACATGCTGGATCAATGGAAGGACTGTAAATACGGTACTTTAGGATCAGTCTTGTATGACACTGGTTTGATCTGGAAAAGGAAATTATTAAAAGGAAATGAAAAGAGGGAGTTAACTAGATTCAGGAAGTGGGTAGCAGACATGCAGCACAGAGGCATGTTTGGCAGTGATGACTGTTAGGCACCTAAAACCAGTGAGTTTGGTCGGTATTTAAAACAAGCCATGATGAGTGTAGAGCAGTATAAAATGAAGCTTCAAAATACAGGAAAATGGCAAAAAGGAAAAGTTACCAAACAAGT